GCCCCCACCGTGGTTGTTTTTGGAAGGCCCCTAAAAACATGGTTTTGTCAGTGGGCCCAAGAAGACAGAGCCAATCGCGTGGTTGATTTGATTGTGTTGTTGCCATGGCGGGATGGGGAGGAGCGATGAGATTTTACGTGGCGGATTTTTAAATGTTGTAGGCCAGGGAGTGACGCACCATCGCTTTCTTCTCTCCTAGGCAATTGCAGAAGAGGTGACAGGGGAACACCTGGCTGAAGGAAGGCTCTATCCACCTTTGAGCTCCATTCGAGACGTCTCCTTCAAAATTGCCGTTAAAGTAAGAGCTTTCGTGACGTTCCTGGTATGAGGGATTTAAGCAATGGGGAGCTGCAACCGGTTTAACAACTGGTTCTGTGAGCACGCACACGTGTGCGCAGCATTAAAAAACACACACCAATTTGAACCGCGACAGCTTACCTTCTAGGCCGGCCCTGGTAAGTAGAACAGCTGAAGCGCAATAATCCACTTGTCAAGATTCCGGCACTTAACCCCATTTAAATCATGAGTCTCGAGCCAAAATTTCCAAAACTTCAAAAGGATTTATTGGGAGTTAAAAGGTCCGGAATTGCCTGGGTATAGCCAACTCTGAGACACACAATTCATTGTCACTCTTGACCCTGGTTTTCCCCCACCTCCTGGGTGTATCATATTCTCCAATGACACACAGAGCCAGCTATGTCCAGGCTAATGCCGGCATGTTAACTTCTAATAAATCCTTTGAAGTTTTGGGAGTGTGGCTCGAGGCTCATGATTTAATTGGGGTAACTGCTAGAATCCTGACAGATAGCCAACTCTTGAGATGCGTAATTCACTGTCACCCTTGACCCTGCTTTCCCTCCCACCCCTCTGGGTGTATCATCCAACGAAACACCTCCATAGCCAAGAGTCATCAATCATGCTCTCCAATTAGATTTTTCCACAGCAGAAGCTTCAGTCATCTAATCAGTCTTTGGAGAAAATATGAGTGACAGTTCTCTACTTATAACCAAAATGGAGCCTTCCCATGATGGTTGAAAGTCATGATAGTTGTAAAATGAGCCAGTCACATGACAGACCATTTTATGACCATTTTTTGCAGCGGCTGTTAAGCAAACACTGTGGTTGTATATTGGTTGCCACATCAGTTAAGCACCATCACCGTTGTTAAGCGAATCAATGCAGGTACTCGTCAACTTACAACACTTCATTTAGTGACTGTTCCAAGATACAGCGGCACTGAAAAAAGTGACTTATGGACGCTTTTTCACTCTTATGACCATGGCAGCATCCCCCTGGTCATTGGATTTATATTGCATGCTTGACAACTGATTCACTTTTATGACGGTTGCAGCGTCCTAGAGTCCCCTTTTGCGACCTCCTGACAAGCAGAGTCAATGGGGAAACCCGATTCACTTAAAAATGGCATGACTAACTTAACGACTGCAGTGATTCACTTAACAAATGTGGCAAGAAAAGTCGTAACATGGGGCAAAACTCACTTAACAAATTTGTCACTTAACAAGATAAATTTGGGGCTCAATTTTGGTCGTACGTTGAGGAGTACCTGTAGTTCACTATGGGCACAGTTTTGCCAAAAGCTGGAAGTATGTTTTCATGACTATGGGATGCTGTAAATGGCTGTAGCAATAGCACTTAGACTTATATACTGCTTCACAGTGCTTTACAGCCCTCTCTAAGAGGTTTACAGAGTCAGCCTCTTTGCCCCCAACAATCTGGGTCCTCATTTTACCCACCTCGGAAGGAGGGAAGGCTGAGTCAACCTGGAGCCTGGTGAGATTCGAACTGCCAAATTGCAGGCAGTCAGCAGATGTAGCCTGCAGTACTGCACTCTAACCACTGCGCGGCCACATAAATGCAATCGTGTTGCCGAGCACCCGAAATTCAGTCACATGATCAAGGGGAGGCCATGGTTTTATTTTCACGCGCAGGACGTAAACAGCCCAAGATAGATTTGTCGTGACTTCAAATGGTCACTAAGCGACCAGTCGTAAGTTGAGGACTACCTGTAGGGGCATCCATAGAGCAAATCACAAAATGGCTACGTTGTCTGCAACACCTATCATAGCGTTGTTGGCTTTGGAGGTTGTCAGTTCTCTAGATTAGTGGTTCTCAACCCCGACGATACTGTCACAGGAGGTCTGCGAAGACTTGAAGAAATACTATGATTCCAATCTTAAGTCTTGGTGGCCCCTGGCCATGGTCTGTGGGAAGTCCCCCCCCGCCCCAAAAAATGAAATGTTTTGAGGAATATTAAAAAGGCAGAATATTATATTTCCTCAAAGGGAGAAATAGAGAAACATGTTTTTTTAGAGAAATCCCCACTCTTTCTTAATGGCCGACAGCAGATGTCAACATTTAAGAGATAAAGAGCTTATTGAAAGAGGAAGACAAGTATCTAGATAGCTCTATTCATAAGCAAAGGAAATACCGCAGGCAGAAGTCCATTAAAGACAGGATACTTTGAAACTCCCTGCAGCAAAGTCTAAACAAAGGCAGAATGGTCAGATTAGAAGCAGCCCCTCACCCAGGATCCAAAACAGGACATTAAGCCATAATAGGAATTGCCCAACACCCTTTCAGAACACAAGCCCCTTCATTGCATCATCCTCTAGAGCAGCCCAAACTTCACCTCAGAGCTCAATGAAACAATAAACTGGAAGCTGACCAGATTAGCTCAGACAAACACCTAGGATTTGCATTTCCTCTTTTGCCTATAGAGCCAACTATGACCTCTACATAACCCCTACATGGCCCCATAGGAATCTGACAACAGCCAATAGAATACATGTTCTTGCACAGGAACAGGAAGCTCAAATGCAAAGCCCAAGAGAAGGTACAAAAACCCTCCACTCTCCACTCCATGTGGTCAGCTGCACCAGAACCCATGTGCTTGGTGGTTCTGCTTCATCATTAAACCACCTTTCCAATCAGCCTCCATGTTTCCAGTGTCTTTCTTCCAGCTTGGAACTGAACCAGATGGATATTTCTTCCAACAAGTCCCTGGTCACAAAAGGTATTTAAAGGGGGTCTGTGGTGAAGAAAAGGTTGAGAACCAATGATCTAGATGGCATCTGGTTGGAACATATGCACCAAGACAAATTCCTTGTGTCACACTTGGCCAATAAAGAATTCATTCATTCATTCATTCATTCAAATGGCTTTGTCCAATGTTTTTTTCTTCTTCTTCTGTCTCTTGTTCTTAGGTGGTTGACTATGCCTACAAACACAACTTGGCCTCCTGGTATCCAGAACCAGAGGACAAAGAAGCATTTGTGAAAAACCTCATTTACAGCCCTGACTATGACTCCTTCGTTATCGATAGTTACCAGTGGCCGCAGGAAGCCATGAAGACTCAAAATATTTGATGTTTCTCTTTTGAGAAGGCAGGCAAGAGAAACCTTCAAGCAGCCGTGAACCTTAAGATGCTACGGTGTCTTGAACTTCAAGCCTGTAGGCTCTTCAGTTATAAAATCGATAGAAGAGCAAGGAGTCTTTCTATTCTATCAGATATATATATCTGAGCCAGAAACCATACAAAGTAAAACAAGGACCAATTATTATGCTACCAGTGCCCAATGAACGATGTGATTACATGAAATTTAGAAATTTCCATATTCTTGAATCTCCTTCCTTGACCTTCTCTAATCCGGACCTTTCCCAATGTATCAGAACTTCAGCTCCCCAAATTCCGTATCGGCATGGGTCCCTTCCAGGCTGGATTAGGAATTTCTGCAGAGTTCATAGAAAATGCTTTTGCCAGATGACTTCATATCTATTAAGCTGGTGTAATTGCTACAGCCTTTCTCAGTAAAGGTTACCATTCATGGGTTTAGGACAGGGGTCTTCAAACTTGACAGCTTTAAGACTTGTGGACCTCAACTCCCAGAATTCCTCCTCCAGTCATGTTAGCTCAGGAATTCTGGGAGTCGAAGTCCACAAGTCTTAAACTGGCCAAGTTGGAAGAGCCTTGGTTTAGGAGAATGTAACTGTTTGATGAAGGGACATGGTGGCTCAGTGGTTAAGATGTTGAGCTTGTCGATCAGAAAGGTTGGCAGGTTGGCAGTTCGAATCCCTAGCGCCGCGTCACGGAGTGAGTTCTCGTTACTTGTCCCAGCTTCTGCCAACCTAGCAGTTCGAAAGCATGTAAAAATGCAAGTAGAAAAATAGGGACCACTTTGGTGGGAAGGTCACAGCGTTCCGTGTGCCTTCGGTGTTTAGTCATGCCGGCCACATGACCACGGAGACATCTTTGGACAGCGCTGGCTCTTCGGCTTTGTAATGGAGATGAGCACTGCCCCCTAGAGCTGGAAATGACTAGCATATATGTGCAAGGGGAACCTTTACCTTTAACTGTTTCATAATAACCATGAAACGATTATCGGGCATACAGTTCAGAAGGTACTTCTTGCCCAAAGTTTCTGCATGGCTTCTTTCAATTTTAGCAACTATCCCCAGAGACCTGATCGTAACCCTGATCCTCATTAGAGATGTGGATGGTGGTATTTTAGCAGTTACACAGAGTTCTCACTAACCCAATTTACTGAAAAATTTCCAGGTAACCGATATTTCTTTATCCAGCTGATATTACGTCTTATTACTATACAACAGTGAAAAGTTCTACCAAACTCACTATGTTTTGGTTGGCTGCCTAGACTAACTCAAGAAGCACTCCAAGTGATGGTCACACAATAAGGTATATCCATGGTTAATTAAGTCCTGGTTTACTCAAGTATCCCAAATTTGTAGGATGCATGATACGCTGAAAGATTATAATAGCCTAGGGTGGATTCATGCAACATATAAAAATAGGGTTGACTATTTCATGCTCCAGTGTTGAATGCAGGTAGTCCTCAACTTACAACGGTCATTGGGACCATCGTTTCTATCGCTAAAGCAAGATCTCATAGTTTAGTTACAGCAACCCCTGGAGTCCTGGTGGCCTTTGTTAAACCAAATCTCACAGTTGTTAGACAGGCAGCTTCCTGCCAGTTTCTCACAAAGTCAGCAGGGAAGCTGGGAAGGAATTGCAAATCCTGGGCCAGCAAGCACTTTAGAGGGTTGTGCTGAGTAGAGGGGTGGAAGGGATGTAGGAAGGATGCATGGGTCAGGGAAACTTAACCCAGCAACTTGCAACCCTCCCTGTTGGCTTCCCCATTGACTTTCTGGGGAAGCCAGCGGGGAAGGTTTCCAAATGGCAGTCATATCATTGTGTCAATGTGGGATTCAATTTTTTTTACTACCGGTTCTGTGGGTGTGGCTTGGTGGGCGTGGCATGGCTTGGTGGGTGTGGTAGGGGAAGGATACTGTAAAATCTCATTCCCTCCACACCCCACTACCCTGCTTTCCAGCTCCGTTCTCCTGTGCAGGGCAACCAAAGAAGATCCAGCCGATCAGCTGGGACTCAATGGGAGGCAGAGAATAGATGGGGGCGGGGCCAGTCAGAGGTGGTATTTGCCAGTTCTCCAAACTTCTCAAAATTTCCGCTACCGGTTCTCCAGAACTGGTCAGAACCTGCTTGCATACCTGCTGGATTGTGTGCTCTGCAACTGGTTGTAAGTGCAAACTGGTTGCCAAGGGCCCAGATCACGATCATGTGACTGTGCAGATGCTGGGACAGCCGGAATTGTAAGGACCAATCGTAACCACCGTTCATTCAGCGCTGTTCAAACTTCAGATGGTTGCTGAATGAACGAACCAAGGTTGGGGACTATCTGTAGCTAACACAATTTAAAAGGGGGGCTTTGATTGTAGACCAGTGTTTCGCAACCTTGGCAACTTTAAGATGTGTGGACTTCAATTCCCAGACTTTCCCAGCCATTAAGGCTGGCTGGGGAATTCTGGGAGATGAAGTCCACATGTTTTTAAGTTATTGAGATTAGAAGAGATTGCTATAGATTATAGCTTTTTTCAGGCCTGTTCTGTAGAAATAGCACTCAAGTATCTGAAGGATTCCGGTTAGAGCTTAGGATAGAGTTAAGAGTAGGGATTTTAAGCTAGTCTTCAGATCTTCTCATTAAGGATCATCCAGTCATAAAGAAATGATAATGTAATCTTTCTAATAAAAGGTGAACTGCAATTTCAACCTTGAGCATCGAGAAAGAAAAGCAAAGTCTTGGTCCAAATTTCAATGTTCGTATTTTGATTTGGTGGCACCCATAGAATATGGATTAGAGAATGTCCTGCATAGCTCCCTTAACTGTGTCTTAAGCCGAAACCATCAGATGAACACTACTATGCCTTGAAACAAAATTCATCTGTTAATTCATATGCCTCTCCATCAAACACAACCAAGAAATTGTAATCTCAGGGACTATTTTTCTTTCTTTCTTTCTTTCTTTCTTTCTTTCTTTCTTTCTTTCTTTCTTT